AGTGTCTCGCCATCCAGGGTAGGCAGCTGGATCTCCCTCCCACCCAGGAGGCCCAGCGAAAGGATCTCCGTCTTTGCTGGGTTCACCCTCAACCTGCTGGCATGCTGTGGTGCCCAGAATCGGACACAGAATTGAACCGTGGTGCCCAGAATCGGACACAGAATTCCAGGTGAGGTCTAACCAAAGCAGAGGCACCATGACTTCCCTCAATCTAGACACTAGACTCCTTTTGATGCAGCCCAAAATCCCACTGGCTTTCCTAGCTGCTGCATCACACTCTTGGCTCATGTTCAACTTGTAAAAGTTGAAAAGTAAAAGGAGATTTTCCTGTCTTTGCCAGATCTTTCTATTACTTCAATGTTTCGAGAATAAATGATACCCGTCCCGCTTCTCCTTTGCCAGATCTTTCAATCTGTACTCTGTCAATTCTCTTACTATAACATTTTCTGGGTCAGCTCATATTTTTCTTCAGCAACGGGTTACCTGAAGGTCTGGTTTCTATGATGTAGCCGGTGGTGGGCTTCTCTCCAGAGATCCCTTCTGTCCAGTACAAAGTCAGTCCAGAGGCTGTTTTCGAAACCAGAACATGCTGAGGGGAACCGGGCGATCCTGCGGGAAGGAGGGCCAAAAAGAGCGAAGGAGAGGTCAGCATGAAAGCAGCCATTACTCATACTACGCTCTCTAATTACTTTGGAGAAAAGAGAGCAGAAACCAGCAAGCCCCCGGCAAAGTGCGGTGTCCTTTGAAAAAGATGCACCCCCACCCCACCCCAGTTTCAGATTAAGCTGAGTGCCTGAACCACGGAAGGTGGAACATGCCAGAGGTACCTTACTGCTTCAAAGGATCCTTTAGGAAAACTACTTGGTAATATACACCCAACATGCTGATTCCTCCCACTACGCCACTAAGAAGACAGGAAAAATGTCTTCTTTGAAGCAAGCTTGGCTTCACAGGAGGAAGCCAACTATATGCATTTTGCAAGGATTGTTATCAGGACCCCTGCCCATCCGTGTCCTGCTAGACCCTGCTGCTTGTTTGGCTCCAAAGCTCCTGCTGCTCTTAGCATCTCGATCAGATGTTGCTATGACTCTTATCCCATCAATTCAGCTATCATCTCCCACAAGAGCTAAACTTAATTTTATATCAAACATACAGTTGTGGACATGTTCCCAATTACATGGTGGGATAGCAGCCATGTTGGAAGAGATCTCAACCAAAGCTGTCGTGCAGGGAGGAGAAGATCACACAGGCTTCGGGGGAGACTGGTTTTCAATGGGTCAATGGCATGAGTGAGAACAGGATTAACCTCCTGCTGTTCCCAAACTGCAGATCCAATACGGGTGACTTCTCTCCCAATTGCCATTTGAAAAGAATCTTATAAACACAAGATTGAGGGCAGCATATTTAATGCCACCTCTACTTTGACTATGACTGGCATCCACTAATAATAATAATAATAATCCTTTATTTATACCCCACTACCATCTCCCAGAGGACTCGGTGCAGCTTACAAGAGGCCGAGCCCAAATACATCAATAAAAACAACACAGCAATACAGACAATAAATAAACTCATAAACAAAGCAATAAACAATAACAGTAACACTACGACTTTAGTGAAGACAAGAGAAGTTTCTGTTTGATTGTTCATTAATAAAAGACTTTGTTATACTTCACAAGCCATCTAAAAGTCATTTGTGGTGGAAAACCTCTCAGAACTCCTTGGGCCTCCTGGCTTCCTGCTGGGCAAAGGCTGCATGTCCTGTTCTAAAGGAAATTCTTTACAGGCCCAGCGTGTGACAGAACAATGGATATTGATAGAAATTCCTTGCAGATCTGAAATGAAGTACTAGTGAAACAGAGCTTCTCAAGAACCTGTTTCATTTAGAAAAAGGCAGAGGACTCTATCTGGATATTTCAGCTCAAAATTGGATAGGAACTGGGTGTTCCTATCCAAGTTAGGAATCGTCTACTAAGGAGTAAGACAAGTTGCAATGGGATTATGAACTGGAGTGTCAGTGGGAATATTTCTCCCCCAAACTAGAATAATGTATGGAATATGACTCAGTCCTCTTCAACCTGCAACCCTCCAGGTGTCTTGGACTTCAGCTCCCAGAATTCCTGACTATTGAACAAGCTGGCTCGGGCTTCTGGGAGTTGAAGGCACAAACACCTGGAGGGCTGCAGGTGAAAGAGACATGGAGTATTTAAATTGGCCCAGTTTATACAAAGATAGGACTCCAAGTTTGTTTTGAGGAGACTAGGAGGAAATCTAAAAGGCACCATAAATTAATACCATCAAAAAGAAGCAACTAAACTATCCATAAGTGCATTCCTTTAAGTTTACATTTGCATTACTCCTTTTACATTGGGCCACCCTAGCTATCTACTGTGTCTCTCTTGGATAGCTGAGCATATAACTGTGACCCTGGGTTTATAGACTGTCTCAGATGCAGAAGCACCTGGCATTCGACACCGATGCCACTAAATCATGAGTTCAGACTTAATTCTCTCTTGGCTTGAGAATGCATTTGGAATATTTCAGTTTGCTGTTGGGTGCTGAGTTAATGCCATCGACTCCGCCGTGTTGGATGCCGTTTTGGCAAGTCCTGCGCATCCCCACTTACCCTCTGCTGGCCCCGCTGTGATGTTGGCTTGCAGTTCAGGCCCATAGGTGATGGTCTTGGCCTGGACCCGGAACAAGTAGGTCATTCCCTTGGTGAGGTCCCGGACCTTTAGCCAGCGCTGCCAATTCCCCTTGATGTCCACAGTCACTACTTTGCTCACCCCTGCAACGGGCCGACAGGATGAAAAATAAGGTGTTCAGTGAAACAGGAGAAGGCAGTGGAGCCGATCTGGTTTAGATTACCAGTACAATCACCTAACCGTTTGCTAAGGAAGTATGTCTTACAATTAGTGGGAGTTTAAGTAGCGGTAATGGCCAATTTTCAGCACAGATAAGTGCAATTAGATGTTAAGCTTGATACTGACAAGGGGGGAAACTCTTAAGGTGCAATTGAGAAATTGCTGAAGGCAACCTCACTAATTGTGTTGGAAAAGAGGTGCCCAAACTGTCACTTTCTCCCTTTGCCCAACCTGTCTCCATGTGGTGCCTCCGTGCCAATCATTCTGTCAAATCACCCAAGAAGCCTCTGCCAACCAATGCCTCTTCTATTTACAGCAGAGCAAAATGAAGGTACGCATCCTTTAACATTTTAGATTAATTTTGGCTTCATTCACTTTGTGTGAACGAGACCACCATTTGGAGAAGGTAGATGAGTCCCAGGCAGGTAAAGGAGAACAATGGAGACACAAGGAAGCTCAAAGAAAACAAGCCATTTGTAACTCGCCTTTTAGGTGAATTTTGCATTTTTTTAACAAGACCATTAAAATTAGTTTTAGGCACTATAAACCTTAGGGCAGAGACCAGCTTGCATATTATTGATCTTAGGATATGCCACTCTGGGAGTCTTTTCAGCTGTCGAGTGGAACAAAACAATGGAATAATTCAAGGAAAGATATAAAAATATTCCAGCTTTAAACACAAAGGTTTTATTTTCACTGTTAAGGCTATTTTGTATATACTAGTTATTATGATGACTGGTAAATAGATGCACAAACCATACCATGATGTTCTTGTGGGTTTTTTCGGGCTGTAGGGCCATGTTCTAGAGGCATTTCTCCTG